CCCCACGTATCGTCTCCCCGTCGTGGATACATCGCCCTGATATCAACGCTGCATCGTCGATGCGTCATCCACTCGATGTCGATGCATCCCCCCCGTCCCTATCCCCCCCCGTATCGTTGGCCCCCAAGGGGCAGGGGTGGGCGCGGCGGCAGGCTCCTCGGCTTCGTCACCGCCCTCTACCAGTTCTCGCTCGCCTTCGCCGTGGCGAAGTACTACCACACGGCGCCCGACGACCACCCGCGCCTCCGCCCGCCCGGGCTCCCCCGCGCCGAGAGTGCCCGCCCGCCGCCGCCGTCGCCGGCCTCGTCCTCAACCCCGCTTGACTGGGCCGCCGCCGTGCTCGGCTTCGATCTCGTCGTCGCCGCCTTAGACGTCGTGCTCTGGCTCTTCGGGGGCGTACAGGAGGGGGGTGGTGACTAGGGGCGAGTGGATATCATTGCGGGGGCCATGACATCTCCCCAGATCTGATGGCCTGTTTCCCCACCCGACAGGTTGGGGTCGTTAGATTCGAAGAACAGACCTCCCGGCCCGCCCGCCCTGCATACCGCGGCCGCCAGATCCCCAGGCTCCCGACAATCCCTGGTGGTCCCGCCCCCCCCCCCTGCATACCGCGGCCGCCAGATCCCCAGGCTCCCGATAATCCTTGGCGGTCCCGCCCCCCCCATCCCTGCATACCGCGGCCGCCAGATCCCCAAGTCCCCCACAGAACAGAGCATAACACCACACTACCACACATAACATATCCGAACATATCATACGATATTATGGCATACCGTATCATAACATAACACACCATGGCAGAGCAGTGCATACCATGGCACAATATCACAGCGCATACTATTGAATACCATGACACAATTGGGTCTGGCGCCCAGTCCCCCGCAAAGTCTGCAAGGACTGCCAGAACAAGCTGCGCTGCGGTGTCTGTGAGCATGCGCATGAACAGAACAGCTGGTCCTAGAACGAATGCGACCACCATGAGCACCGGCGGACAACTCTCGTTTGCAAGCCCTTCCGCAGTCTAGGCTACCACCCAGAAGACGTGGAGACGCACGCGCGCCAGTACTGCAACGGCCAATGTGGCGCCAAGAAGTTAGACGACGCGATGCTGATCAGCCATTACAAGTACCATTCGCGGCAAGAACTCGAGTGCAAGGAGTGCACTGCGAAAGCGGAGAAGTGCGTGAAAGAATTGCGAGGCAAGTTCAAAGGCAGCAAACGCATTCGCAAATGCGTTTGCCCCACTCACAAGTTGAGGCGCCCTCTGTCCCATGCAACGCATCATGAGAAGCGCTGGCCGGGCTGCGACACAGGGGTAACCGCCGAGGATCGGAGGTTCTTGGACGGTCTGACTCCGCGGCCTGCCTCGCGCAGAAAGCTTAGGGGCGAGGCGCCTAGGCGTGCGGCTTCGATGGAGCCGTCTCGATCCTACATGCGCGGATTTAGCGCTCGGCGCAGTTTTTGGGGGCACCAGAAGACACGCCCTGCGCAGTTGAGTGTCTGGAAGGGCACTGGATCGTCTCGAGAGATGCTGGACCTCTCAGTTCTCGCACGCCCGGCTCCGATGGAGCCCTGTCAATCGTTTCACGCAGTAGCGAAACGTCCTAGCGTGCTTGTTGGCCTACCAAGCAAAGTCCTAATAACCTTTTGTGGTTCCCGCGACATGTTCTTAGAACATGTCTGGTTGAGACTGCTTTGTTTCAACACACCGGGTGTACGTTCTCAGAACATTGTTTCTGGTCTTAGAATATCTGCGGGTTCTAAAAGTATTTCGTGGTAGGACTCCTAGGAATGCCAGGACGGTCGGTCCCTGTTCAATCGTTAGCGTGAGTTCTGCGCTCGGTGCAGTTTTTGGGGGCACGGCAAGACGCGTTTTGCGATTTAGAGCATCTGGAAGGGCATGGAGCCGTCTCGAGAGACGCTGGAACTTCTTGTTCTCTGGCACGAACGCGGGTGGCGCTGAATTTAGAACCTTTTCTTTTGTCGAGCATGCGCTGCCCGTGGCGGGACACTCGCGCGCTGGCGCGTCTGGGCCGCTGTTATGCGCGTTCGGCGCGGCAAGAAGTTTTGCATTTCTCGGGCGATTGCTGGCTCTGGCGCGGCGTTGGCGCCGGGCCTGGATCGGGGCAGGCTGATGTGCGCTCGGCGCAGTACGCGTTCCCATCACATTGGGGGCCATTCCGCTTTTCGCGCTGTCGTCAGACTGCGCGCTCGGCGCGGCTGCAACCGTTGGAATGGCAACCTTGGGCGTAATGTAGCGCGATCTGCGCAGTCCCTGGAGCCAGGTCCCGGCGCTGTATGCTAGGTGCTGATCATATGCGCCGTTGGCGGTTCCGCCAATCGCGTTTCCGTAGGCCGCCAAGGGCATCGGACATCCGATATTCGTGCGTTTGTCCCCGTTTATTCTTCGTTATCTGCGGGGCAGAGCCTGTCGTCATTCGTCGACTTCCGTCGTCGTCATCGAAGCCGCCGTTGTCGTTGTTCAACGATGGGCACGATGAAACACGAGGGAAAGGATATGCGGAGTATACGATGAGGAGGAAAAGGAGGAGGAGAAAGAGGAAGAGGACGACGACGAGGACGCTGGCGTCTTGGCGGTTTTCTCGCGGAGAGGTGTGGGAATAATGGTAAAGTTGCGATGCCATGTGGCAGCGTTTGTTTGGGGCGGTCTTGGAGCGCCTTGTAACTTGCCAGCATAAGTGGAACAAAGGCAAGTAGCACATCCAGAGACGACGCTCGAGCGAATTGCCCTGATCAGGGAGGTGGGGGAGCACGCATGGGAACCAAAGCTTGGGAAGCCGTCGTGCCCCAAGAAAGGGGAGGACGGTGGAGAAGTAGGCATAGGAAAGAAAGGAAAAAGGAGGAGGAGGACAGGGATGAGCAAGACAAATCCGCTGAGGGGAGAAGGAGAATGAGGTGGCGGAGATGGAGGTGGAGGGGGGGGAGGAAGGACGGGCGATTATGAATAGGCGGGTGAGGAAAAGGAGGAGGAGAAGGGCAGCGCCCCCAGAAACGTTGCCCAAACGAGATGCCCTGATCAAGGACGTAAGGGTGTATACAGGGAAAATAAAGGGCTGGATGAGCCGTAGTACCCCAGAAAGGGGGAAGGAGGAGGAGCCGGGGGAGGAAGAGGAGGAATTGGATGAGGGGGGGAGAGGAGGATGGCGAGGGAGGAGGAGGACAATGTGGACAACGAGGAGGAGGAGGACGAGGAGGAGGAGGAGGAGGAGGAGGAGGAGGAGGAAGAGGAAGTGTGGGAGGGGGGGGGGGCGAGGGGGCGAGGGAGGGAGGAGGAGGAATAGCACGGGGAAACGGAGGAGGAAAATGAGGACAGAAGAGTGAACGCCTCTCGGAGTCTCCTCGGATGTCTCTGGGAAGATTATTGGATGCCTCTTGAAACGTCTGTCTTTGCGGGCCCAGGGCCTTCTTTGATCGTCTTGGGTACCTCGGGGATCATTTGGAGGCCTCGTGGGGGTTTCTTGGGAGCCTCTTGGAGGCCTCTTGGAGCCGTCTGGGCGCCTCTGGGGGCCCTCTTGGGGCGTTCTGAGCTTTAGAAGAGGGGAGCTCCAATTACCGCCCCTCCTCGGGAGCCCCGAACGTCGCCTCTTGGGGCGCTCTTGGGGCGCTCTTCTAGCGCTCTTGGGGCCGTCTTGGGCCTTTCTTGGGCCTCTCTTGGAGCCCTGCTGGCCCATCTAGGAGCCATCTTGAAGTGTCGGATGGCCATCAGAAGCGAGCAGGCGAAACAGCAAAAAACATTGCCTTTCCTGACGTTTTGGAAGGGTTGTGGACTCTTCGGGGCGTCCTTGGGAAGTACTTTGGCCACTTGGAGCAGTCTTGGAACTGCCTTGGGGCATCTTGGAGCATGTTGGAAGCCATCTTGAGGCATCTTGCGCTATCTTGATCCATCTTCGAGGCCATCTTGGGCTCTCTGAGGCCCTCTTGGAGCCGTCTTGGGCCATGTCGGACGCCCCGACCGCTCGCGAACCCCCCCGCACAGGTCCAGGGGAGGGGTAGGGGGCGGGGTAAACCCCTCCCCGAAGAGGAAGCAGGGGGGTGGAAGAGGAAACGCCCTAGACCACCTACGCCCATAGAGCTAGTGGGAATGCAACACGCATAGATTGCACCACATATTGCAACACACGCACACAAAAACACACATACACATTTGTATCTCATATATATATATATATATATATGTATATATATACATATATATATGTGTATATATATGTATGTATTGCGCCAGGGTGGTCTTTGGTGCGAGCCCCCCCCCCCCGATCTCGGAGGAGCGTCAGTCGAGACAACGGACCACCGTGGCCTCCCTGGCGTTGTTTGTCCCTTTGGGATCTCCTGCAGGAGTCTTGCCGCCACGGCCGGAGCCGCCTCGAATCTCACTCCAGGTTTGGAACCCAGGAGGTGTCCGAGGATTGAGCTCGAGCGGATCTGGGCCAGGCTGGAGAGCCGCCGTTGTCTCGATTGGCGTTCCTCCGACGACCGTTGAGGGCGATTCGGCAGTGGCTGCTTCGCGCTTGGGATCTCCCCGAAGCCGCGCGCAGAAGATACTCCAGATTTCGTAATAAAAGGGAGGGGGTCACAATCCTCCCAGACGAGAAGTTTTAGACCCCCCCAGACCATCCATGAAAGGGCGGCCCTTTGCCCAGACCCCCCCGAACCCTCCAAGACAGCTCAAATCAGACCCCCCCAAATGTGACCCCCCCCTACTTTATTATGGAATCCGGAGTAGCTCTTTCCCAGGCTCGCTACAGTCAAGACGCTTGGCTACGAAACAGTTCGGGTTCAGAAGGGGCTCGTTGCTCCTTGTAAGTTCTTCGATGCATGTTCCTCTAGCGTTCCTCGTGATCCCAGTCGGCCAGTCGGTTTGGGGGGCCCCAGAGGCGCTCCTCGTTCCTTCTGTAGTGCGGTGGGGCAGGCATGCCCACGACTCCGACAGGCACACGGGCTTCTGCGTCGTGGGCGAGGGCGCTTGGATAGGTTTCACAATGCATTCCGGGTCGCTGGCCTATGGTACTTTTATCCTCGCCATTACGCAATTTGTCCATTACGTGGCAGAGTATGTCGAGAGGCAGAGCGAGCAGGGCGTCGAGAACCCTGTCGTCCATTGCCTGGCTTGTTGTATTTCTTGTTGCTGCGGTTGCTGCGAGCAGATCGTGAAGACCGTCAACAGGAACGCGTTCTTCATCATTGCCATCACATCAAAGAGCTTCTGCAGTGCCGCGAGGAGTCTGTTTCACATTATTGCAGATTACGGGGCCGCCATGGCAGTGCTTAACGGTGCGACCGTCATCTTCCAGATGGTTGGTGGGCTCATGATAACCGCGGCGTCGGGTTTTTTCGCGCAGCTTCTGTTTCATCATTATGGGTCTGAGGAGCCGACAGTGGGCGTCGTCGTCTCTTGTATCATCTGAAGGGTTGCGCCCTCTGCCACTGCCCCCCCCCAGGCTGAACTACCTTCTGGCTGCAGTGGTGCAGTTTGAGGGGCATCTTGAGCCGTCTTCGTGGGGCCTCTCGGGGACAGGTGGGGGCTTTGGGGGCTATCTTCGGGCCCTCTGGTGCGAATGTTGGGCGGGGTATCTGGCGGCACTGCTGCGCCATCCTGGCAGATCTGGGCGACATCTTGGGATCTCCGGCGTGCCCGGCGGCCCCGTTCTCCTCCGTCCCCGCACTGCAGACTTTCCACCACATGGTGTTGCACACCACGTAGCTTTCCAACACATGCGCACACGTAGTACACCAGATTGCTTGCACCATGTGGCTTGCACCGCATGCCTTGCACCCAACGGCCTGCACCACAAAGCTTGCACCACATAGCCTCCAGCACATAGCTTGCACCACATAGCTTGCAACACCCAGCTTGCAACACCCAGCTTGCAACACACAATTAATCGGACAGGCAGAGTGCAAGATGCCACTTGTTGGCGTTATATATATATATATATATATATACGCGCATGAAATTGTGCCATTTATCTAGTGGCCTTCGGTCTATCCCGCCACCCTGGCTGGGTTCATGGACCAGTTGCCTATTGGATGCATACACGGATCTCGTGGGATTACCGCTGGAGGTCATTTTGGGGGGCTCTTGGGGGCCTCCTTGTGGCTCCTTGGGGGCTCGACGTGTCAGTTTCGGTTCTCCTTCTTGAGGCCGTCTTGGAGACCTCTCGAGCTCGGCTTGCCGGCCTCCTGATCCGTTTGGGGGCGTTCTTTGGGGCCTATTGGGATCGCCTTGGGGCGGTCTTGCAGGCCTCTTGGGCCGTCTTGGAGCTTTGGAAGCCCGAGACGGCGAGAATGCTAGACTATTCCAGACATCGGCTGGCAGTGCTTCCCTGGTACTTTTTTTGTGCTCCTCTTGCGGGGTCTCTCGGGGTGCCCTGGGGAGCTCTCGGGCCGTCTTCGGGCTCTCTCTTGTCAGGAGGGGAAAAAACACACAGACACAATTATTCGTCGATTCCCAGAAAATATGCGAAAATATGGGAAGTGGGGGGGAAGACAGGAACCCAGAAAATATTGGAAAATATGGGGAATCTTTTTATTTGTGTGTATTTATTTGTGTGTCCCAGGGCCCCTTCATCTTGGGCCAATTCGGTGTCCTCGTGGACCGTCTTGTGGGCCTCTTATAGGGCCCTATTGGCCCGCTGTGGGGTCCTCTGTCCGTGGGAGGAGGGTCCGACGACGGGCCCCGGAGGGTCTGCGACGACACACCGGCACACCGGGGCTAAGTCTGGCATTTCGGGGCCCAGACGCTTGAACATGCAGCTATCTACTCGGCATCCAGGACTCGAGTTTCAAAGGGTGCGAGGACACTCCCGCTCGTGCCTCGCGTCACGGTGACACACATCTATATATATATATATATATATATGTATATATATGTGTGTGTGTATGTGCATATATACATGTGCTTGTTATGGCATTTGCAGACATGTGTGTATCTGGGTATGCGTATTTGAGTGTATATACGGACATTTGCAAACATGTATCCGTCTGAGTGTGCACGCGTGATGCAGCATTTGCGATGCACTCCTCTGTGAAGCGACGTCCGTGGTGCAGCGTACTCGACGCACTATATGAAGTGCAAGCTATGCGGTTCAACAGATGTGTGGCGTGATCGATGCGCTGCGAACTACGTGATGCGCTCATTGTGGTAAAGTGTGTAAGTTGTTTCGTGTGCACTTTTATGAATATACATAGAGGTGTGCACGGTGCACTCATACGTGGTCAAAGTTGTGTGGTACAAATTGTGTGTTGCATGCTATGCTGTGCCGTATACCTGGCTCGAGCAATCAGCGCGGTGTAAGTTATATCTATATATCTATACGTATTCTACTTAAAACTGTGTGTACATTTTATATATATAAATATCTATATATATATATATATGTGTGTGTGCATCTGGACACGCCAGCCAGCGGACGAGGCCACCACGAGGCCTCTGCAGGCGGGCACTGGGCGAGAAACCCGAAGCCCCCCCCCCCCAGCCAGAGCACGGTGTCGCCCGCGAGGCGCCCACGGGCGGACGCTGCCTGAAAACCTGGCACCTCCCGCAAAAAACGCGGGGGGGGGGGGGGCGCGCGCTCGCGAGGCGCCGACGGGCGGCCACTGGGCGAACACCTTGACCGCCAGGTTAGACAGCGAGGCGCCCACCGGGCGCCCACGGGCGGGCTTCTGGGCGACAGCGCGGGCACCGAGCCGGCGCACGGGTCGGGTCGCCCGCGAAGCGCCCCCGGCGAGACCTTGGAAGCCCTGGCCACTTGCTCTCACGCGCGCAGGGTCCTCACCACCCACCAAACCACCCCAACCCAACCCGAAGGCCCAAATGTATCCTCGATTTCCAGTGGGGGGGGGGTCGGGGAACATCGAAAAAACACATGGAATCCGTACTCCCCCCAACCCGAAATTCGGGTCAAATTCGGGCCTTCGGGTTGGGTTGGGGTGGTCTGGTAGGGACAGTTGCTTTGGGGGGACGTGGCCATGGCAAAGACGCATGCTCCAGGGCCCTGCGCCCCGAGGGGGCCGGCGGGTTGCTGCGGTGGTCGCCTGGTCTTTCATGACGATCTTTGACGCCACCACGGACACGCTGCTGTTCTGCTACGCCCTGGACCACAACAGGTACAACCACTCCTGCACGGCCCCCGAGGACATGAAGAGGCCGCCGCCTCGCCCCCGTCTCTCCTCCCCCTCGTGCGGGCGAAGGGGCAGCGGCAGTGGGCATCGGAGCGGAGCACCCCGCCCAGTCCCTCCCTCGAGTCATCCTCTTCCTCCTCCTCCCCCATCCTTCTCCTCCTCCCCTATTCTCCTCCTCCCTCAATGCCCCCCGACTCCGCTCCGTGCTCGTCCCGCCCCCCCCAGGATTGGAGGAGGTGGAGGAGGTGGAGGAGGAGGAGGAGGAGGAGGTGGAGGAGGAGGAGGAGGAGGAGGAGGAGGAGGGCGACGGGAGCAGGTGGGATGTGGCGTGGAGGGCGACCTCTTGCAGCGGCGCGCGGGCGGCAACGCCTGTCGCGCGCCGCGCGGCGCGGAGCCGGTCGGGGGGGGGTGCGCCCGCGGGGCGCCTCGCCGAGTCCTGGCTGGGCCGATCCTGGGCCCAGGACTTGGCATCGCTCGGACGTGTGCATTTTTCTTTCGGTGAGGACCATCGAGGAGCATCCTTGATCATTTCGCGAAGAAGCCACGCACGAAACCGAAAACAAAAACACAGGACATGGACGTCCGAGCGATGGCCAGAGGAGCGGTGGCCGCGCCTCCCCGGGCCAAGCCAGGCGGAGGTTCGTAGACCTCCTGCCTGGACACGTCGATTCGCGCATTGGCCGTCTTCGGTCCGCGGGGGGGGGGCGTCGCGGCCGTCAGTTTTGTTGGTCCAGGTCCGTCGGGTTCGGTCCCCGGCCGCTTTCACTAGAGGGAGGTTTGCGAAAGGGATGTGTGTCCACCGCCGAGCCAGGAGGGCGTCTGCACTGGATCCTGTGCCCTGAGCGGGATCGGTGAGGTGGTCCGCTGACGCCCCCCCTCCCCCGGGTCGGGTGGCCCGGGCTAGGTCGGGCATGTCCCTCCACAGGAGGAGTGCTCAAGAACAGTCGGGAGATGGTCTGGCGACGCCTCGGCGTGCTCTGTCGACTACGTTTGGGTATGCTTTGGCTACGTGGGATTTCTCTTGCAGCATCCGCCTGTACAGTCGGGGCGCTGACGAAGGAGCCCTTTTCGTTGGGGAGGAGCGCCGCGTTCCTTGAGTGTTTCGCAGCTGGCCTCAGGTTTTCCTTGTGTTTCCGATCGGACATCGAAGTTTAACTCATGGAAACAAGGGGCCTCGTTCCTTATTTTGGGTTCCTTAGGTTAAGCCCCCGCCTGTAGGAGGACACGCCCGACCGAAGAGCAGGGCTCCTCCCTCCACGGCCTCCTGCGCCCACTGCTGCCAGGCAGGGGAGGGCAGCCTCGCGCCCCCCCCTCGCGCTCCCGCGCGGGGCGGGAGGTCCGACGGCACTCGGTGCCGTCGCCAGCTTCCCCTGGAGTCGGCACTCGAGGTCGTCCTGGAGCCTCGGCGGATTGGGCGATGAGGCGCAGAAGGAAAAGGCACCCATACCTCTGCCCTTTCTCGTTTTCCCCTTTTGGGGGGCGTCCTGGGCGGCCCTCGTCGCCCCCGCTGGATTCGCCCCGAAATCCTGGTCGGAACGCACCCCGGGAGAGGTCTGGGGAGTAGCGGTATCGGTACCTTCTGGTTTCCCCCGTGAGCCCCAGCTTAGTTTTTTCTCCTGGGGTGCGTAAACACAATCGCCGTGGAGAGCACGAAGCTCTTGTCCTAAGGGCCTGGAGTTCTACAGCTCTGCGCACTCCATGGACACCGCGATGTTGGGGTCCTCAGGGGCGCGGGTCGCGACACCCTGCGGATCAGCCCCTCCGACAATGCCGTTGAGTTTGAAGTCGCAGGCCTTTCTCTGCCGTGGCACCAGGAGACGGTGTCTCCGCTTTGTGCAGGTTGTGGAGCCCCTGCTTCTGAGCGGGGGCGGGGGGGGGCGTCACGTTCTTCCTCGCCCCGGCAGGCCACGCCGCGGCTTGGCTGTAGGCTGGGCGGTGCAGCTCCGAGGGCACGTCCCCCGAGAGCACCGCCGACGCGGGCGCGGGCCCGCCCGCGGGGCAGCGGCCGCCGACCCGCGCGCGGCCCGAGCAGAGCCACCACGAGCCGCCGCCTGCGATCACGGGTGGGGATGTCGCGCCCTCGGGCCGAGGGCTGCCGAAGAGGCAGGCACTCCTCGGGGCATTGTTTCGACCATCCCGCGGGAGAAGAAGCGATGCACGCGGAGCAGAAACATACGGACGGAGAGAGAGGGGGGCGCTTGCAAGAGCCCCACGCCTCCGCAGGCGGGTGGCAGGCGGGCGCGCGTAGGGTCAGGGCGCCAGCAGGTTTGGTA